TTTGGAAAGAGGAAAGTTGTTCACAGAGGCCAGCTTTTCTGATTCTTGACAATTTCGAGAGTTTATTGTGATGCAGTAATCGCCAACGGCCAAAAAGAAATCGCTGGCATTGGTTGGGATTTCAACGATTTAATCAATTAATACAGTTTTCGGTTTTGTCTATGAAACTGTGGATAACCCAGTGAGCAAAATATGAAAACGTGCACCAAAAGTATCTTTTAAAATGAAGGAAGTTGTATGTCTTGTGACAGCAGTTTTTATTTTCTTCGTTTGTCAGGTAAGTTTCATAATTTTATGGCGTGTAAGTCACATTCTTCCATGTTGGATCAGTATCATCTACGAAGATTACTTATTTAACGTCTTCTTTGTAGGTTTTATGGGTTGAAGCCGCTTATTCTGTACCAAGTAAGTGCAAAAGTATTCCCAAACGATTTAATTTGTGTTATTTGGAGCTGGCGATGTTTCTGTATTAGACATCAGTCTGAAACTGAATTCAGAACTTAGCATTTTAAATGGCTCGGAAACAAAAACAAAATGCTTCTTCCAGTCCTGAAAAAGTTGCTGTGTAACTTTACACAACATTAGGGACAATTCCAAAGGTTAAGGTTTTTTTCGGTCACGGCCTTCCCCAATATTTCCTCGTTAGAATTAACATCCTCCCAATTACATTAAGAGAAACACTCTGGTAAGTTCATTGTGAAACTAATTGCCTCCATTAAAGCGAAGGACTCCAGTTTAATTACTTTCATCACTATTGTTAGTGCTAATTTCGAATCTGGAAATTGTCGGAAAATTGAGTCGTGTCGTTTCGCATTTGCGAGAATGTGTGTGTATTCGATCTCATCGAATCCGTCTCGAAGTTTTTGCCAACCTCTAAAATCAACTTAGGAGAAATCAAACCTTTGATGGAGATTTTTAATTATTAACTAAGAACTCGTTCTAGAACGTCTAAAACCTACGGCTTATTCTTGTACTTACTGACAACCGAGGTGTCTCTGAGAAGCCCCTTTATTTTGGGGGTTTCTTCTTCGTTTGGACATTATATAATACCGTGTAGTACATTCGTGGTACATTCTCCTTTTCGTTCATTTAGTGCTGGATTTAATGATATTACCAATAAATGTAACACGTGGAACACTGACAAAGAAAGCCAAACACACTGCTGAACAGTACAAAAATATTCCAACTTAGTTCGGTTGTCTGAGCAAATGTATTGTAGCATTCCGACTTTCTCGTGTTGGGAACTGTAGAAAGGCAAATGCTGATGAAAATGGCATGAGGAAATTTGTAGAATTCATGTAATCAGGTGTAGGAGCGGATTTTTATTGTCTAAGTCGGGAATTTGTTGTCAACATCTTTTAATTTTTGTCAGATCCGACGACGGAGACGTTGAACCAAACTGATTTCGGCGTGAATTTAAGTTTTGGCGAAAGGCTTTTCGCAACACGACTTAGAAAGGTCTGAAATATGCTGGCAGCAAAAATGCCGACGCACAACGTGAAAAAATTGAGGACGCGTTTTAGGTATGATAGAAGACATAGAAACTCTTTATTTATTACGAAAGCTGCGTGTCACTGAAATTGGTTTAATAAATATAACTTGGTATGTGTCTACACAAATGTATATCACAACTGGTATAAGGATATTGCGCAATTTAGCGTTCTTGTTGTTTGGTTTTCGTTGGTTTTTTTATTCAGATCGGATGTGACTGAATTTAGCCATATTTTGGAATGCTTACAAGAACTCTACAGTGCGTAAACACTGAAAGTCAGTTAATAAGAAAACATAATTCCTGTGGCAATCCCTACTGTTTTAATCTGTCGTCATGGTAAACTCTTACAATTTTTTTT